CAATTTTGATAGTCTTCTTCAATGCTCGCCGTCATGGTCTAGTCCGTTGTTCTGACTTGTCTTTCCATCTCTGCTTCGTCGATCTCCGTGGGCCTTTTACGCTGATGCGACACATAGAGTGCCCTCCGTTCGACCGACGGAATTATGTGTATTCTTGCCCGCAGCATGCGGTGATCGCTTCCTGTGTTGAACGAAGGTACTACGGAGACATCCTTCAAAATGCGCTGTTTATCAACCAAAATATAGTCGATTTCGTTTTTGGCAACTGCGTTTGGTGCAATCCATGTCCATCTCCGTTTCAGTTTCTTTCGGAACCAGGTGTTGCCTACGAACAATTTGTTGGCCGCTGCCATCGCCGCCATTCTGTTGCCCCTGTTGTTTCGCTCTCCTATACTGAACCTGCCAGTGTGTTACCGGCTTTCCTTCCTTGACCGAGTTTTGCATTGAAGTCGCCCATCACCATCGTATAGGTTGACTTGATGGTGAGAGTTGATTCGAGCTCCGCATATTATTCTTCAACTTCGTCGTCATCCCTGGCCGTAGTGGGGGCACAGACTTGAACGATTTTGACGGTCTTGTTTGGATTCAGCCGTAGGAGTACACCGACTCGCAATGAACTAAAGCGATAGGAAAGGATTCGTGTAGACCACTTTTTGTTCACGATAAACCCGATTCCGCCTATGTTCCTCTGTCTTTCTCCTTTGCTCAAAAGCACCGTGTTGCCATCCCTCCAGGTAGCGTTAAGTTCTGATTTTCTTCGTATCTCGCAAACGCCGAGGACATCGCAAGATGTTTTATTGATCTACTGGAGAAGATGGTTGATATGTTCGTCCATCGATAGCGACCTACAGCTGTACATGCATATCGAGAGGTCAGGTCGATTTCTTTTTCTTTTCTTTTTAGCGGCCTGGTGCATCCTGAGATTCTTAGCAGCCCCTCATTCTTCGGTTGCTGGCCCACCGCCGTAAGCCGGTCCCAAGGGCGTGCAGGGTACTGGGGCCCATATCCTTTTCTTCTTCTGTTCATGATTGTTAAACCTGTCAATTTACCACTCGCTGGTCCAGGCTGTCAGTGGTACCGCCCGAGCTTAGCCGGCCATAGATATTTTGCTAGGAGCTGCCAGGGCACGTGTCCCACCGTGCTTTGGCGCCCTGACCATTGTCACTCCCACACCACTATGAGGTGCCTGGGTCGGAATTTTGTGGGAGGGTTGAAACTAAAAGCAATAGAAAGCAAATATAAAACGATGGAGAACACAAGCATAACTAAGACAGAGCACAACGAACATGGACATTGAAAGACACTGGAAACCATTTGTGTTTAAAAGCAATAGGGCGGAAAAATTCTTCACTAGGTAGCAGTTACATCAAACAAGTAGTAGCAAATGAAAACATGTGGTGAGAAAAACAAGACCAGATAACACAGCAATGAGCGCAACATGTGGAAGACAAGATGGTAACGCCACCAGCATAGCAAAAAGGTGCTCATGGATAACAGCTGAGACGCAGAATACAAAAAGAGAACATGTGGCAAGGAACGAGTTGAAGATGGGGCAAGCCACTGCTTACACTGCAGCGCAGTGATTAGATAAGACGCGACGGGTCAGCAGCTGCAATGATCAACAATGGATAGAATACAAAGGGAGTCAAGAACGCAGATAGGGCAAGGAACTAACTTACGAAAATAAATGACGAAAGAGAACTCAAAAAGCTTTTGAAAAGAGAAGGAAAACAAGACAGCAACACATCGTACTCAGCAATACTCACTTTGATGTTGGAACGTGAGCAATAATGAGACAGAATACGGGTAAAAACAACGTACAGTCAACAATCAACCTCTTACGGTGAACAACAGAACATAGTAACAAGACCGCGGCCGCAAGAATCATGAATAAAAACGACATGAGGACATATGCAATGGCAAGCTTATAGTCCGAACGTAAAGAAGAGTGAGAAAAAAATGCGAAACCACAACCAACAGACAACAGTGGACTCTAGCGGAATCGAACCCGACATGTCTGGAGTCGAAGTCGGGAGCCGAGAACATGAGAAGCGTAATCAAATAACCAAAAATGCATACAAAAATAGACTACTGACCGCGCGGAACAGGACCCTTAGAACTAAAACCGCGCGGAATAGGACCCTTGGAACTAAAACCCCGCATCGGTGTCGAAACGGGGTGCCAATGATGAAAGAAAATTCAATGACCAATTTGCATGCTGTTGTTTGTAAATGAATGATATTAGCCTTGACTTTCGCGTATATCCCTCATTTGTGGGAAAGGAGTAAAATGCAGCTTTTGCATATACCTGATTAATAGGTAATACTTGCTGATCAGGCTACAAAATCTGGCGATTAGTAAGCCGTATCAGCATGTCTGTTCTTCTGTCTTCTATTCCGAAGTACGGCAATTGCATGTGAAGGTTTTTGCAGGGTTGAGTTGAGTGCTACCAGAAAATTTCTAACAGTCCTAGTTTAATCAGTTAATTTTTCGCGTATCGTTATGAATGCAGCGCAGGTATCACCACCGGTATAACAAATCTCATGCCGATTGCATGCCGTAGATGACTAGCACAGATTCTGTATTTGGTGATGCGAATGAATGGCTTCGAATTATTCGGAATCGAATCCCCGGAGTCAGGTCCAAAAATCCGCTCGCAGAGCCCTGTTTTTGTGTCTATAACAGCTGTATTCGCGCATAACACGTAGTTGCGTAGCTGACTTTAAACATTCTGTTGCTAAAATCGAATCTTTTTTCATCTGTTTCTTAGGAAAATATTAAGTAATGTAACAGTCCCAGAAGTATTCTAATAGCATTTCGTAGGAGATGCCGTCCAAAGCAGTACTATCGAAACGGGCACAAAAACCGAGAATAAAAACCACCGAAGCAATAGGGTTAATCAGCACCTTCTGCTGATTATCTCACTGAATAGTCAGCTCTCAGTTGGGCCAAGACGAATAGCAGCATTTTTTGTCTTCAACGGCGGCTGATCTAATTTCATATATCTCTTCCAAAACAAACGATGGGTTTAGGTATTTAATATTATTTTTAAACTTTTCACATCATTGGATGACTTGTGGAATTGAATATAGTTTTGAAGTTCATGAAAACAGAATATAAAAGCAAACGAAATCATTGTTAAGTGCTCAGTGGTTCTATGAACAGTGCAACAATATGGTAACCAAAGCAAGATTACCCTGTTAGGAAGCCTGTCTCTGCCTGTTTTTGACGAGGTGGATTAAGTGCTCCAGTCTAATTTTGTAGTATATTGCAAGAGAACTGCTTGCTAGACGTTGTTGAAATTGTGATACTGCGACAGTTGGAGCACTCGATTAACCGTCCACGTTTAAATATAGAGACAGGTAACACCTTCTCCCATGCTTCCAGAAGATTCTCTGAGGCGCATATATTATGAAGCAATGTGCGGTGTTTTACTGCTTTGATTTCTACATATATGTTCTACATCACAGGCCTTCTTTTTATGAAGATTATGGTTGGGCGCTAATCACAGTTTTCATGCCATCGCCTAGGAGTGCCTTATTTTAAGTGCAATGTTAGCAGCAGCTATGTGACGAGCATTATTTGTAGTCGTCTGTTTCTCTTCCAGAGAGTGGTATTCATTGACATGGGAAGGAGGAAAATTGAGTGACCCGAAACAAGCTCAAAACTGGAACCTATCGGTTCTGAGTCTGATGCCACACCGACTGAGCAACCCCCTCTTGGCAGCTATGTAGAACCGAATAACTAACTGTTCGAACAGCAACCTAAGTAGCTTAATGCGTAAATAAACTTATAGCTATACTTATAATATGCTGAGTTGGCTAATAAAATTTAGCCTTTGGTACTGCCGGTTAGAATAATGTATACGTGTCACTTTAGATTTGCACGGCGTTACTGTACTGTTCCCTTCAAGAGGCCTTGAGGACGTTTTGAGGTGCCCAGCTTCCATGATATTTAGCACCTGCTGCGTGGACGGTTAGAATTTGGTAGATATTCCTATGGGGGCACTTTAAACGTGCAGCTGTATTTGGTTCGTGATTTATACGGACCCGCGCTCAGTGTAGAGTACTGCTAAAGCTGCGGTAGGTAAAAAGTGAAACATATGACAAATTTCGTTCGTTGTTTCTAGATCGAACCGATTTCGCATTTCACGAGCTGGTCGTTCCAGCGTCGATAACGTCATGTCGGCAATTGTTCCTTACCTCAGGTGAGGTCTACCTCAGCGAATTTATGCTAACCGGTGCTTTGTGTTAGGTCTGAATGGAATCAAGTAAGCCGAGCGTTTGCTTCCCAGGATCCAGGGGAATGTTTGGAGGCGTACTTCACCGTTCTCACCTGGAAGTTAAGGTAATTTGAGCTATATAATATGAACACAACGGCGAGTTAATTTGTTGCGAAAGTTTTCATCTCAGTCTAACAAAAATCTGCATATTAAGCTGGAATGTGCAATACGATCCACATATTAGTCTGTTCGGAATATGACAAATCGCATAATGAAATATTTTCGCAGTGCATTCATTGCGAATCGGACGGTGGCTCGGTGACTTTTTCAAGACGGATTCGTTTTCTGGGCATGTGGAGGTTTGTCGCAGTAACATTGACTCATTTGCCTGCTTAATGGCTGAAGGGAATACACTCCGCAGTACGTGATCCTCTACAGTCTCCTTGATAATGTTAAGACTTCATGATGCGAAGATGAATTTGAGCTTAAGCTGATAAATAAAGCGTGCTGACGTCATTCTCTATTCATTGTGAATTAGACGTGTTCAGTCGGGTAGTAAATTCTTGGTATCTTTTGCTGTAATTGTAGACATAATCCTTTAATATAAAATTGTTCATGTTCTGATGCAGTGATTCCGGACGCTCGGAAAATGGTCGTAGTAAAACCTTTTCTTATCTTGCCAACGTTTTGGCATATTCATCACTGCTATAGTTCAAGACCGAACAAACTGTGAGAGCGTAGCTGAATGTTTGCAACATTAAGGGAAAGTCCGTTAAGAAAGTTTATA